CCCCCAAAGAACCCCCCCGATGGTCCAGGCGGGGATGGGCAGAACGAGTCCCAGAAAGCTGGCATGAGTGGTGGCGCAATCGGCTCCTCGTCATCCGGATACATCTCCAGGTAGCGGGCGTAATCCTCGTCATTCATCAGGCCCGTAACCGGCCCGTCCAGGTCGTCCAGCGGAATCGAGAAGGTCATTTTGAAAGTAAGTTGCTCTGGAACCGCCACCTCAACAAAGGACCCATCTTGAGAAGTCACTCGGGCAGTCGTGGGAGTAGGCGGATGGCGTGATGGCGGGGTGACCTCGCGTCGAGAAGGAGTCGGCGGCTGAGAAACTGAGGACATAGCGCCGACAGGGGACCTCTGAGGGGCTGGGCGAGGAGTCTTCTTCCCGTGTTCTCGTTCAGGCCGAGTCCGCTTGGAGGGCAGCGGACGCCAAGGAGACCCGAAGTCAATCCGTTTTCCTTTCAGAGGAGAACGACCCATGATAGACTTGAGAAGGTGAAAGAAAAGGAAGGACGCCATTTATAGGGGCCAAGTTTAGACGGAATAATCCAAACGGCCCCGCGAGATCCGGAGGAGATGGCTGAGGATCCGGACGTTACCAAAAGATATTTAAGACGAAGATACGATGATTGAGAGGGATGAACAGTTGCTACTTTTCCAAACCTAGGCTAGCGGACCGGGTGTGGAAAAGTGAGGGACTAGTTGATGGGGTGAGGACCCTGGCCCAAGGTATAGGGGCCCAAAGAAAATAGATAGGAGAAGTGGGCCAGCGTCGAGAGGAGCCCGAAGAACAATTGGGCCGAGTCCGGGAGTCGGCCCAGGCCCAAGCATGGGGCCCAGTTCCGAGCTGCCAAGAGGAGTCCAGTAGGAGCTTAGGCCGAGACAAGGAGTCGACCGAGGCCCAAGCCCAGGAAAGGACTCGGCTCAAGGAGCCGTTGAGAGCATTGAAGAGGCTCGTTTAAAAAGGGAGCCGTTGAGACATTGAAAGCCGGACACGGTCAGGCCGTTACAAGCCTGGGAGAGCCGTTGGTCGACCGAGTAATAGCATCCAACGGCTCCGTATCTTAATTAGCCATGAAGTCGGCCATCAAAGGCCTTCAAGTCGGTAGAGGGGGAGCCACTATATAAAGGTTCCTCCATTCTTGTAAAAGGAGGACAATTGAACACCCAAAGAGGGGAGAATACCAAAAGAGTTCCGAGTACTAGTATAATCTCCGAAATAGACATACACTTTATCGAAAGGTGCACCCACCAGCCGAAGGTTGTGTTGGACCTCCTTGGGCCCGAAAACCCTAAAACCATCAAGTATGTATGTACAAGTTGGGTTGATAGGGAATACAAGTTGGCTCGCAAGTTACACAAGTCAAACTGTATAAGAGTTAATTTAATTTCTGGTCCTAGATTTATAAGTGACAGTCAATTTTTAGTTTTTTTTTTTTATCAGAACATCTATTTTTTGTCCTAGTATTATTGTGACATGACTAATTTTGGTTCTCTATAAAAAAAATCGTTGAAATTTCTTAAATACAATGGCATTTCACTCTACAATTATGAATTTTTTTCAAAAAAATAAACATAAAAAGTATAACGGGTCAACGCACTTTGTATTAAAAAGATCAAAGTGTCCTTCAATTTAACAAAATTTTAACGATTTTGTTGATAGAGGACCAAAATTGGTCATTTCATAATAATACTATGACTAAAAGGGGATGTTTTGATTAAAAAAAAAATAGGACTAAAAAGTGGACGGCTACCTATAAATCTAGGACCAAAAATAAAATTAACTCACCTGTATAACATGGGTACTCCGCCTGGTTGGGCTAGATCAGAGAAGTCTCTAACCCAGACTATCTAAAAACATCGCTAAACGGTTTGGCTTGTTTTGACGGCTCTAGTTAAACTCTATTAGCACAACTCAAGCCAAAAGAATCGAATCCTTGTTAGTCATACAATAATAGAGATACTAATTAAATGAGTCAGTTAAACTCTATGAGCATAACTCATGTTCAAAGAATTAAACCTGACTTAGTCATATCATTAATAATATAGATACTAAATAAGTAAATGAGTTAAATTCTATGAGTACAATTCAAGTCGAAAGAACTGAATCTGAATTAGTTATATAATAATAGAGATATACCAACTTAGGCTCAAGTAACTAAAGACAAATTAATTGTACAATGGAAGCCACCTCCTATGGGTACCTTAACATGCATGCAATGTTGATGTAGCAGTGTTTGAGGATGGAGCTGGTTTTGGAGCAGATGTGAATGGGCGTTTAGAGTGTGGTCGTGACTCTTACATGGCGAAAGCAATGGCAGTCAAGGAAGCTTTAACTTGGCTAAAGGCTCTCGAAAAGACTAATGTTATTATTGAATCTGATTGCTTGAATTTATGTACTGCTTTTAATTCGCTTTCGTTAGACCCTTCTTATGTTGGTTTACTTATTAAGCAATAATGTCAATCTATTGCTAGAGATATTGACACCATTTCGATTCGCCATAATCAGGAGGTTAGCGAATCAGGTAGCTCATGTTTTGGCACGAGCAATTGATTCTTCGTCTGTCCTTGGACCGTGGGTCTCTATTCCCCCACTTTGTATTGCGAGGTTCTTCAGTATTTAATGAAAGTTCCTTTGGTTTCAAAAAATTGTACAATAATGGAGATACATGTACGTTATATGTAAAATGCGTCTAGTAGTATTTGATCAAAACTCAAATTCAAAACAAACTATGTACATATAAGAAGGGACTTTGAAGTTCCGACATGCGAAGGTTAAACAAGCTAGATCAGATTAAATGTCTAGTTAGTCTTGGAGAAGAGAACGATGACTAGAGTTGTCAATACGGGCTGGCGGCAGTCGTTATATTATAGACCGCGGTGCATGTGCACCGCGGTCAACAACGACGCCGTTTCTTTAAGTAAAGAAACGGCCCGCCGTTAGAGTTAACGGAGTCCGTTTGTTTGGTGTATTAAACACCAACTGACACTACAGTATATCCAAACCGACACTGCAGTTATACTATAGTTATAGTGAAATGAAACTGCAGTGTATATAAACTGAAACTGAATAACATTTCACATATTTGAGTGTATATTGTACAATGAAGCTGTAATTATATCAAAATAATCATGTAGTTGTGTTTTAATGAAACTATAATGTATATAAAATAAAATTAAATAACATTTTCACATATTTGAGTCTATAAATATCGAATGAAACTATAGTTATATCGAAATGAAACTGTAGTTGTGTTCAACTGAAACTGCAGCGTATACAAAATGACACTGAATAACAGAGTTACTTTTTGCAAAAGGGTGCGAAACGGCGGAAATAAACACTGTTAATTTTCATTTAAAAAAAAGACGCGCGTTGCATAATCGATTATGCACCGCGGTGCATGATATAATTTGCCGATTGGCGGGGGGCCCGCCAAAGCTCGCCTTTTGACGGGGCGGGTTAAAAAGCCCGCCAAGAATACGGGCCTAGGTACGGGCAACCCGCCCCCCCCCCCCCTTAGGCCCGCAGGCCCCCGCCAAAGCCCGCCTGTTTTTTTTTTTTTTTTTTTTTTTAATCATGTGTGATAGTGTCCCTAAAATCTAAACTATAATGTGGCTATGTTAATAACTTAATTGCTATCTACTTAAAACACTTATTCATAAGAAAATAACATAAATTCGTTCATCACATCATGGCAACAATGACACCTATAGGGGTAAGTATAATTACTGATAATCGATAACCGAAACGACCGATAATTTTGGTTATCGGTTATAACACAAAAAAAAAATTAGTTATTCGGCTATTCGGTTATTTTTCGATTATGAAGGTGTAATAACCACGATCACCGAATAACCGACACTATTATTTATATTATTATATTATAAATATTATATATATATTAATTTTAATTTTATATATATATATATATATATATATATATATATATATATATATATATATATATATATATATATATATATATATATATATATATATATATATATATATATATAGTGAAAGATTCTCGTGCGGTTGAATGCTTCCCGTGCGATTGTGCGGTTATTAATGTGCGTGAGATTTGTACTCAATGTGCGTGAGTGCTGTGTCTAATGTGCCTGAGATTTGTACTTAATGTGCGTGAATGTATAAAATGAAGCAGAAAATATGGATATCAGCTTCTTCCCCATCCCCAGTACCTGCACTCTGTGAGTTGCTTCAGAATAACTTCGATTATTGGGTTGCTCATAATGTGGTATGGAATATGCTGGCCTGTGCTTATTCGACATCTGAGATGGTTGCTGATGCTCTTTTTGTTCTATCCAAGATGAAAGATTTGAATCTTCAAGTTTCAATAACGACATATAATAAAAGTTTCCCAAAGTGAATACACAAATTCTATCATTTTCAATGGTCTATGCAGACCGATCTTGGTGCGAGAATCTGGAACTTCTGTTGTTTGCTTCAATTCCAGATTGTTGAAAATTCTCTTATTACTCACGCGCATTAAGCACAAGTCTCACGCATATTTAGCACAATACTCTGGCACATTAAGTACAAAACTCACGCATATTAACATGACGCACATTAAGTACAAAACTCAAGCATATTGAGCATAACAATCACGCACATTAAGTATAAACCTCGCGCACATTAATCCACCGCACAACCGCACGGGAAGCAACAAATGCACCTGATCCCTTCCCTATATATATATATATATATATATATATATATAGCTAAAAAAAAAAAAAAAAAAAAAAAAGGCGAGCTTGCGGGCTACGCGGAGCGGGCAAAAAAGCCCGTTTGTGAATGATATAACAAGTAAGGGATGTGATTGTGGTATATATTCGAAATATATACAATAATAAATAATTTTTTAGAAAAACAGTAGTAAAATAACAAAAAATTTCACAAAACATAAATTGAACAGAATTAATAAACAAATCAACTCAATAATCTACCAAAACGTCAATTTTAATTAAATATACAATTAGAAAAAAAAAATTCCAAAACTATAAACCCCAAAAAAATGTTCAATAAGCCCAAGCATTCTGCCTCAAGATCTCCTCCTCTTCCTCCGGCGTGAAGTCGTTCTTGATATTAAAAATCTTTCTAATCTCCTCCGCGGTTTTGCCTTTGATCATGTCCGCAACTCTCTGGGCCATTATCTCCAACAAGTCTCTTATCTCCAGATAGTCCGCCGCCGTGAGAAGATCGTAAAGCTCCGCCTGATCCACCTCCACAAATTTCTTGTCAAACTTCATCTTCTCGGCATTGCTTTTTCCGGCGGCGGCGTGCACTTTGCGGTACTCGAGAATCTTCGCCAGCGTATTTCCGTCGACTTTGGGTAATGGGATGACAGAGTCTTCTCCCAAGCCGCCGGCATCCTCCACCACGAACTTGAGTGTCTGTGACAGCGCCGCCACGGACTCCGCCACCTCGAATTCCTCGCCGTCGTTGGCTCTCAGTCTCACCATCTTCTCGCAGTCGTTGATGTCCAAAGAAGACATGATGGCAGTGAAGAAATTGGAGAATTTGGGTCTCAAAGTTTCGTGCGCGAACTGATAACGAGAATTGTAGGGATTGGGTAGGAGGGGAGCTGATGGTATTAATATAGGCACTCAATTATGTTTAAACAATAATCCTAATTCTATACAGTTTCCATCATATATTCATAGTACAGGTCTGATTTGATTTCATAATATGATAAGGATTAAACAATATTAATTTACTTTAACAATATTAATTTACTTTTTTATTTTTCAAAATAATATTTTTTTTGAATGTTACTGGCCCTATTAGATTGTAATATCTGTTCATATACTTTCTCAACATACTGAAACACATGAACTCATAACCTTCCAAATAGAAGTCCAACCCGGATACCATACCTTCAAAATAATTTTTTGTTTTGTTTTTTACAAAATTAAATAACTTAAAAGCCCATGTTGTTCCAGATTACCAAAAAAGTAGTTTTTGACTCACTAGTATTTGCGTCCGTGCAATGCACGGAATGGATTTGTTGTAATATATTAAAACTATTTGGATCGATATATAATTATTTGAATTAGAACATCAAATATTATATAGTGCAAGTGAAGATACAGTTTGGATCATTTATGTGTTTTGATGTTATTATTTCTTGAATTTAAGCAAATAATTGCTTAAATTAATAGCTAATGTGTAGATGTACACGCATGCGTTGCTATAACTTTGGAGATTTTATTTATCATTGTTTAGTATTTTTTTATATATAAATTAGGCAAATATGCTCGTTCTCTACCAACTTAATTATATGAATGAATTTCTATCTTAATTCATTTGTATGGAAGATTTTATTTTTATTTTTTGTCTATATATATAGCAATTTAGTCATTTAAAAAAAAAACATAATATCAACGATTTTATTTACACATTATCAAAACATCTTTGTAGACGACATTGATAGTAGCAACACAATCTTGTCCATCATCATCTAGAGCTAACACCTTCAATCGATCAGGATGGTATTCCTCGGGTTAAAATATATAATGGTAGAATATTAGTCAATTAACGATCCTTTTATATTTTAAGTGAATTAGTAATATCAAATTCATTTTCAGCCAATTATTCTTTTTTATTTTTAGTCAATTAGAATATCATATGCAGTGATATTTTTACCTAATTTTTGTTTCATTTTTAATTTACCTTTACTATTGTTTAAAATATGCATTTACTATTTATAATGTAGAATATTATTATTGAAATATTTCCATTCAATTTTAGTTTCTCTTTCATTTTTAATTAAAATGCAATGATCTAACCATGCATTTTTTTCATATTAGTCAATTATGGATGATTTTTTTATTTGCAGTCAACTATAATATTTATTTCCTTTTTTATTTTCAGTTAATTAGTAATATCATATTCATTTTCAGCTAATTATTTCTTTTTTATTGTTAGTCAATTAGCCAATTAAAATATCATATGCAATGATATTTTTACCCAATTTTGGTTTCATTTTTAATTGATGATGTAGAATATTATTATTGAAATATTTCCGTTTCATTTTTAATTTTCGTTGCTTTTTTAATTTACATTTACTATTATTTAAAATATGCATTTACTATTGATGATGTAGAATATTATTATTAAAATATTTCCTTTTCATTTTTAATTTACATTTAATTGATTATGTAGAATATTATTATTGAGATATTTCCATTCTATTGTTTAAAATTGTGAAAGATTTATGACATAATTGTAATTTGATGTATTATAATGTGTAATATTATTGTGAAAAATTTAAATGAAATGATCTGACCATTTTCTTTTCTATTTTAATCAATTATGAATTGTTTTATTTTTAGACAATTATTAATATTCATTTCCTTTTTCAATTAATCTAATTTTTGTTCCTTTTTCTATCTTTAATTTTCTGTCAATTATTAATATTCATTTATTTTTCTAATTTACCTAATTTTCATTCCATTTTTAATTGATGATGTAGAATATTATTGTGAAATATTTTTATTCTTTTTTTTTTATTTCCATCCTTTTTTAATTTACCTGTATTATTTACTATTGTTTGGGCGGGAAATCAAGTAAATAGAATTTTGTTTTTAATTATAGTATAGATTTTTTTCTAGATATGTGTACTCAATATGTATGAATTATGTCTAGATTAGATTCCAGATATTCAGATATGTGTACTCGATATGTATGAATTATGTCTAGATTAGATTCCAGATATGTTTGAGTGACTGTCTTATCACTGATCTAGATAGATTCCAGATATGTGTATGAATTATGTCGATTAGATAGATTCCAGATATGTGTACTCGATTAGATTCGATTATGTCTAGATTAGATAGATTCAAGATATGTGTACTCGATTAGATTCCAGAATCCAGATATGTTTGAGTGACTGTCTTATCAATAGATTCCAGATATGTGTACTCGATATGTATGAATTATGTCTAGATTAGATTCCAGATATCCAGATATGTGTACTCGATATGTATGAATTATGTCTAGATTAGATTCCAGATATGTTTGAGTGACTGTCTTATCACTGATCTAGATAGATTCCAGATATGTTTGAGTGACTGTCTGTGTACTCGTGTCTTATCACTGATCTAGATAGATTCCAGATATGTGTATCCAGATATGTTTGAGTGACTGTCTGTGTACTCGATATGTTTGAGTGACTGTCTTATCACTGATCTAGCTAGTACACGACTGTTTGATCAATAAGTGTGTTAGAGATAAAATCAAACAGAAATAAAAGACACAAGAATCTGTTTACCCAATTCGATATAACAGTATCTACGTCTGGGGGACCAACATCAATGAGTCTAATCCACTATCTCAATAGTAATCAAACAGACGGTAAGAGAACACCTTCTCACCCAATGTGTGTTACACACCACCCAATCTTTTGAAAGCTATAGAGGATTGTCGAGCTCAGAGATTCGTGCTTCAACGTCCAAAGTCCCTTTGGAGATCCATCTTGTCATTGTTCGTCTCGATAACTCACCCACCACTGCACCACAATTGTATGGAATACCATTTGCTGATTTAAGTTTTGTAGAACTTCTTCTCAAAAGAGTCGTCTTAAACTCATATCGTCAATGATGTTTTGAGAAGATGATAACTCATAGTATTCTCTTTGTAATTCGATGAGAGAGTTTCTTGATATTCAAATCTTGATGGATATTTCTTGTAAATCACCTCTCTTTTTCCTCTATCTTATTCTTCTCCTCTGAAAATAACTCTCCATAAATAATTTGACCGTCATTTTTCTACCCTTTATAGGCCTAACTCTTTTTGGCTCTTATTAGTATAGTAGATATTTTGTTAGCTAGTGCCATTGCTAGCTTAACTAGACAACCAACTCAAAATAAATTGTAGAATTTTATTTTGCACGTTAATTAAAATGTAGAGTTTGAATCTTACCATGGGGCCGCGAAGGACACTCATCTAAGGTGAGGAGATATATTATGAAATTACGATTAATAGTGAGGGGCACTTGTGGAATCCTTATACCATGGACCATAGTTCACAGTGTATTATGGACCTTAGTACATGTTTATGTGTCTTATGTTGTGAGTTTTTGTATCTTGTGTTATGAAATTATGTACCTTAAGCGTGTGTTTGGAAACCTGAAACCCGGAAAATTATAAAATGATTTCTAAAAATAATTTTTCGGGTTTTCAGTGTTTGACCGGGGAAAATTTAAAGTCAATGGAAATTGATTTTGCGTTAAAGGGAAAACAATGCCAATTTTTAGGAAAATGACATTTTTTTTTTCTTTTTTTTTTCTTTGTTGAGAAATCATTTTCCAATGTTTAGCTGCAATCTTCTCCATCTCATCTGGTAGTTTCTGTCAAGAACCAAAAATCTGGTTCCCGACGAAAACTAGTTAATCTGATCTAACCAGACTAGATTATTTAGTTTCCGATGGAAACCGGACCATATTAACTAGTTTCGAAAGTTGGAAACCAGATTATCTGGTTTCTGGCTTCTGAAACCATTTTTTGATATATGAAACTATAGTTCTTTTTTTTTTTTAATAAATAACACTGATTTTTAAATACAATTCTGTTCATTTTCTGAAAACAAACCAAACACATTAAGACAGTTTTCTAAAATGCAACCAAACAATAGAACGGAAAATATTTTCTGGAAAATGAATCTTTTTTCCAGAAAACATTTTCCAGAAGTCATTTTTCTGATTTTCAAACACACCCTAAGAGTATGAATTATTTACCATAAACAAACTAGTAACTGTGTCTTATGTTATTAATTTTTGTGTCTTTTTTTTTTTGAAATTATTTTTCGGGTTTCCAATGTTGGTGAAAAGTGGAAAATGTGAGTTAAAGAAAAGGAGTGTTTGGTCAAAAAGAAAATACTCTTATTTTATTGGAAAATAACTTCCCTCTATTTTTTGGGAAAGTCATTTTCCAATTTCTAAACACCACCATCACCACCGTCGCCACCATCACCACAACTAACACCAGTCCACCACCACCACGGCCGCACTGCACCACATAAGTGTTTATTTATCTATATTTCGTCTTTTATATTAGGTATTTTGTCCATAGATTATTCTAAATTTCATGAGGATTAATACTTATTTGTGTTATTTTGCAAGGAGTAAAGTATTGGAAAGCTTTGGAGGTAAAGATGGCAAACCAAGGAAGATTTGGAGCAAAAGTAAGCATTGAAAATTAATCCTGCTAATCACACACCTTCACCATGCCGTGATGAGCTCGTGGTGTTCACTCTAGGGACGGAGCCAGAAATTAGGTTGAGGGGGCAAAAAAGTAGGGACAAATTCAAAACATTTTTTCAAAGGCGAAACATTAAAACAAAAGAGATAATTTTTTTTAAAAAAAAAAAATTACCTAAGAAATATAGTTGTAAATATTGTTGGATATGGACGAAAAATAAAACACATCGAAACTTTATAAAAATATTTATAACAAAATATGAAACATAATTAATTTGAATTAAAAACACTATAAAAATATGTTGATGCTAAAAGATTCG